AGTCATCAAATAAAGCAATCAAAGAGGATTGCAGACCTATAAAGTTTTCCTACAAAATACATATATGTTCGACCAATTATTAACGAATTTGACATTTTTGCTAATGGCGCACTTCCCTGATTTTTACGCAAATTATACGTTTCTTCCCGTAAAGAACTCAATTTTAGAAGGGAATTAACTTTTTATTTCTTCAAAGCTATCTTTCTCATTGTACTTCCTTTGTATTCGAAGAACTCGAAAAATAAGCCCTCTCATTCTGAGAAAATTAGCCTTATCGAGAAGCGAATGGAAATAACAAAAACTACGTCTTAATTGTTTTTCCTTCTGCTATTTCTGCCTTACACTAAATAAAGAAGGTCTGCGATAACGCACTGTTATTGGAAGAGTGTTGTGATTTTAGAAACCTCATGAGATCCCAGTTCCTCAATCAAATCCTTCTAGTTCATCTCTTTCGAAAAGGTAAATTGTGTTTGATTCTTTACAAATAATTTTTCGAATTTTCTGCCGCGGGAGAAGAATTTTTGGTTAATAATTTCAAGCGTTTTTCAAGAGATTGTTCCTCAAAATTGTTTGCTTTGGTAAAAACTGCAAAATACTATTCAGCGCTTTCTTGCCCTTTCTTACGTGCGTTCACCCGTTCTCAGTTCTTTATTCGCAAATTTAACTATTCAAGGAGAGGTTTCGGTTTCTAAATTGAGTTTACTGACACTAACAATAAGATAAAGATTGTAAATATGACCTGCGTTCAGAGAAAGACTTTTTTCATGTAATCGGTAGCTTTTTAATGCTTGGAGCTTGAGAACAAATCTCCGCAATACTTATTCTTGCAAATTCGCTTTTTGGTGACTCGGTGGGCACGGCACCTAGGTAGAAACCCGAGGTCTGGTGCTCACCCGACCATATAGGGTGTACCTAGGATTACCCGACGAGCGATTAGATTAGACAAATTGAGTAGAGGACATGTCGCGCGGACATTTGCAACAAATCATGCCTCTTAGCTGTTATTGTCTCATGCCAGCTGTGCACGTGGGTGGAGCCCATCAGCGGCCTAATATAGCCCATCAGTGGCCCTCTATCCAACAAATTTATATACTAATTCAGTATCAGAGAAATACATAACAAAAACTGCCAGACTGTAAGACTCTACGGGACTAAATGAGGGACAAAACATGGATGAGCGCTGCGCTCCGTGCTCTCGATGTTTACAGGCTCAATCTATGCAAAAGAGTCTGGGTTTCCCCGCCAATGTCGGGCGCTTCAGACCCACCCAGTCCAACTGGAACGAGGCAGTTCCCTTCTCCACTCCCGCAACGTTGTTCATCTACTAGCTCAACCAACTCAAGATTCTTGGCGCTGTTGCGCGTTCGATCCTAAAACATCCAAAAAGCTCAATCGTTCAATGCGGAATCTCCTCCGCTGGTGCTGCTGAAAACAGCTAAGTACGATAAGACAGCAATCGATGACGAAAACGAAAGTCAAAGAGGCGAGGGGTGCTTTTGTGCGCAGCCTTAAAGATGGCTCGGCAAATCTCAACCTAGTGAAATTTTCGCTTACCTGGGGTTATTCAATACGCTGATTCCGAAAATACACTTCTGAGAGCTTGAAAACGGCGAGAATGAGCGTTTTTTAATGCCCTTCTTTTTGGAACTGGACGAGTGGAGCAAGGCTGACGACGCTGAATCGTTGCAGGACCCAATAGTTATAGCATTGCGGCGGGCAGCCTCCAATGGTGAGAAGGAATCTGCTAACTCGTCCGGATGCGTGTAAGATTAGTCTGCGCGTGTAAGTTTGAGAGCAAATTTCTCGGCAGGGAAGGCATGCTGTGCAACCGGGATTGCACTGTTTTCAAACTTGGGCGATAAGGAACCCACCATGTTGAAATCTGAGTTGTTGTGTTTTGCCGACCCACTGCCTTTAACTCCGCCACGCCGCGTTCCCAGCCGAAGTGGCCCTGCAGTGACTACAAAAGGCGACAGGTAACGCGACATAAAGCGCTCTTGGCGCCTGCTCCAAGAAGTTGCTCACGTGGGTGAGCCACGACACTTTTGTTTTGACATAAAACTCTTGAGATCAGATGAATTAATCCATCGAGGATTAGGTCTCACAATATTCCGGAGTTATTTGGTGCAATTACCCGCCTGCCAATTTTCGCAAATTGCATATTTCATTCTTTTAAGTGCTTTTGAAGATACGGCTTGATAGTTTTCCTTCAGAAAAATTTATCTCAATAAGAAATTCTCCTGTTTCGTCACTCTAAAAATACACTTGTAACTGAGTTCTCGCATGAATATCTCATTTCAACTGCACTCTTTCAGCTAAATTTAGTGCTTGAGTCACAGAAAGAAAGCGTGTAAAAAAGAGAATTTCTTTATTGGGTGGTCGTTCAGTCAGTTTTATGCTTGGTAACAATTTACAAGTGAAACATCATTGGCTGAATAGATGCACATCTTTTTTTTGCCAAAAGTCAATTCCACGACCGTTTTGCCGTAAGATAATGGCAAGGTATATAACTGAAGGAATAATAATGTCACTCCATTTATTTCGTGCTGTAAACGAAAAGTTATATGTGCGAAAAATTGCTTGATGAGTGATTTTACTGCTGCAAGTGTATACTACAAAACGTGATGACAGTTGATTGGATTTTTTTGGCAGATGACAAGTTGAAATAATATTTAGAAAAATAGTAAAGTAATTTGACAAACGATGTTGTGTTTCATTTATTGTTCCAAATGTTAGGAAGTCGTGCATTCGCTAGGTGGCTTTTGAATCGACGGTAACATTTTGCACACTTGAAATTTTCCCATTGTTCTAATTTCAAGGTTAAGATGCTGTAAGGCGTAGTATCGATTAATTTCAATAATTATCAAACGAAAAGCGAATCCGCAGATCCACAAAAGAGAACAAAAAGTTTTAAGTATCCCTGGAGCGTTTCAGACTAATTTTCTAATCAGAGATTAGAAATTTTGTTAACAAAATACATAAGTTTGTGAATTTCCTTTGAAAAAGAAAAAACGAAAAACCACAAATCTAGAGGGCGGATACGCGGTCCGCCCTCAAATAGCGCTTTTCACGTCTGGGAAAGCGGGTTATTAAATTCTTTTGAAGCTGCAAAGCACAGTCTTGGACTTAGCTCGTCCAGGAGAACCGAGAACGATGAATATCGCAAAGTTGTTATTCTGCCGAGCCCTGCCTTTAAGGTTTCTGCAGATTCATAGTCATCTCAATATGGCAGTTGCTTCTTTTCAAAATCTGTGTCTCGTTATTTCTTCAGAAACACCTCAGTCAACTTTCTTTTTGCTTAGTCAGACCAGGGGTTTCAAGCTAAAAGCCAAAAAACGACAAGTAATGCAAGCCTCCATGTTCAGGCTGAAAGTAAACTCCTTAACAAGCTATGTGGTATAAAATATTCACTCTGTGTATATTTACTTTTCGTCGAGACAGTCTTTCTCACGTAACGAAAGGTCTTCTGAAATATCGACCTTTAGTGCACACTGTGCCCCTGGTGCATATATGTGTGGATGTTGATGCGATAGAATTCAAGCATATATAAAGGGAAGTGCTAGGAGAAATTTACATATTTTCATATTCAAACATATGCACACGCTGTTCGAAAGTGAAAAGCGTCTCTGACAAAAGCATGGGAAAGCTTTGCTTTTTTGCACGGTAATGACTATAACTGCAAAAAACAACAAACAAGTACGTATACTAATTTTGAAGGGACACGCAAAGGTTTTGGATGCAGTAATGTAAGATGCGGTAGAGAGATGATCTACTATAATTTTACAAAGCAGCTCCCTCACGAAATATCTTATGTTAGTGCCACTGGCGGAAAATATTAGGCTGGAACGAAAGTTCCGTTATCTTCGAAAGTTCATAAAGTATTAACCTTTAAATGTGTTGCTTGCTGTTAATTTTTTCCAAAAGAAGGAATCGAATATTTTTAACGACGCTTAATGGCTTTCTATTATGCACAAACTGCATAGATGGAAGATGTGATAGAAAACTATCACAATTACTGAAATTTCGAATTCCCTGGGTTTGGCCGTAAAAAATCTGGAATTTTGAGATAAATTCGAGCACTCACAAGGGAGTGGTCAGAGATCGAAGTGGATAATCTATACAACTGCATACCACTAAATAGCAGTAGTAAACGCTGACTTCGATCTGTATTCTATATCTGATTAGCGCCTATGTGGGCGAAGTTATGAGCTGTTGAAGGCCGTTATTTTGCTAAGAAATCGTGCATGCAAAGCGCAAATTTGGCAGTACGGAGCCATGTTCAGCCTAATGCTGGGCCTAAACATGCAGCTAGATTATTTTATACTCTTGATGCCCAAAGATGAACAGAAAGTGCAACAATGTGCTCAATTTTGCAAACTCTTGTCACGATTATTTCGCAATAAAACTGCTCATAACTTTGTCCACAAAAGCGCTAAGCATATATAGCAGCGAAAACAGATTCAAAATCAGCGTTGAATGCTGCACCAAATGATGGGCAACTTGGTTAAATTGGCCACTTCGACTTCTGACCATTTCCTTGCCAGTATTATAGGTTTTTATTGCTCTTCCTCAGTGACCAAATAGTTGGCTGTAATTTCTGGGAAAGAGTAGAAAACGCGGAATTTGATTGCTCAGAATAAGCAAATAATAAAACCGCTAAAACCATGTATAACTGCTCGGATTTACATCGCGAGATTTAGATTTGTGACCAAACTCAGAAAAATCGAAATTTGAATCACAGCTTTCGTCTGTGCGTATGCATAGTGGGAAGCCACTAAAGCACCGTTATAAAGAACATGATTTCTCTTATTGAACTAATTCAACAATAAGGGATTCTATTTGAAGATAAAAATTTTTTGAGTTTTTGGAAAGTGCACAGAAGACTTCTAAGCTTTTGAACAGCCTTTAGGGCCTCTGCCATACAAAATACCCATCTATGTGACTTTCCGAATCCTGATGTGTATTTTTGCAAAACCTCTAGTCTATCATAACCATTTCAGGAGCGGATTGTTGAAAAATTGCGAGAACTGGTCTTCCAATGCGATCAAACCACGAAGGCATGTGCTTCACACTATTTCAAGGTACGAGAATATCACTTTTACAACTCCGAACTCACTGTCATTCATCATTCTTCATTTGTTTTCTCAAGATCCCGAGTGAAACCTTCCCAACTAAGTTTTTCCTAGAAAAATTGATTTGCAAACTTTTCTGATTTCTTGACGGAAGCAAATCTTTTTGTTCTATGGACAAGCTTTTTCCTTTGAAATGTCCATATCCCGAACTGTCAAATTACGAAGTCCCTCTCTCTTATTTTTGTTGGAAACCTTATTTTGGTGCCTAATCTATTTCACTTCCCCCCCCCCCTCCCCAAATCAATTTGTTGAAATTGCAATTCCACACTGTTTTTGCTTTATCAAACCATTTATATATTTTTTCTCACATATTTCCTTAGTTTCTACCTTGATGTACTTAGCTCAAGCATCAAATTTAATCTTCAAGTCATCCTATGCATCTCCATTCTACCAGTATTCTTCATGCCATGAAATCGCCCTTATTTTGGTCTTTCTTGGTTTTTTCTTTCTATCATGGTTTTCATTTCTTTGACTCCGTCTTCCATCTCGCCCTCTCTACCTAAAAACACCTCAAAAGGTACGTCGTAGACTTTTACAGAGTCCAAACGGTCGTTTTTAATGTGGTAATCCCATGGATTTCTGCTCAACATTGTTGAACTCAATTCTTTTTGCTGGCTTAAGTTATCCACTTACCATAAATACTTCGCTCAATCTAGTCTAGAAAACTCTCCAATCTCTTTTTGGCAGTACTTTAGTCTCAACAAATCGCAAAGCGTATGAAAGGAGATGTGAGGCAGTTTAAATGCTTACCTGACGTCTGAGGATGCAAACAGACGGGTGTTTGAATCTTGTATCAGATAAATTCTGTAAACGGAATAAGATCATTCTACGCTGAAGCTGCAAGCAAGATACTTTTTGAGTAAAAGCACGAATATATTCAACTCCAAATGTACATTGTGCATTGAAAACAGGTGATTTAAGAAGGAGTATTGTTGTGACTCGGTGTGCTAGCACCCCTCGCTCTAGTGCTCGTCCGTCTGACACAACAACCCTTAACCCCTGGATCTTGTGCGTATACGCTAGCGTGCGCACTCCTAATGCGTCCGTTCCACGCAGAGGTGCGATAGTCGGAGCCGATTCTTCGGCACTTTTGGCTGGTACAGGGTGACCACCTTCACTTTTGGGTTTGAAAAATTTTTTTTGCTAAAGCTCAAAAGAAGGAAAATAAGCAGAAGGAATGTAAAAGAAAGTATCAAGAGCATATATTTATGTAGTAGGTCGATCCAGGCAGTAACCGCCGAGAACCAGAATTTCTAATGATAAAATAATGAAAGATCGTGAAAAATCATTCCACTGTTACAAATCTGCTGGCTGAAGACCTCCGCAGTTACGACTTCATAGGTTTTGAAGGGCAAGTGTTGTTCCACCAGATAGTGAAAAAATCAGTTTAATTTGAGGAGTGGCCGCCGAGAACGAGAATTTTGAAAAACCCTAGAAATCTTCTCAATTTTAGGTTGCTCAATGACAACTGACATTTAAACTCTTATTCCGGACTTTGAAGGTGTGTGATGTTGCGACTTCATAGGTTTTGTAGGGTGAGATTTGCCCTATCAGAATATGTCTTAGCTGTACCGAGCCATTGAAACATGAGATCCAGGCTCTTAAAAAGCAGATAAAAAATCGTTTTTAGCTCATAACTTCTTCAGAATTGCATAATTCATGTTGCGACTTCATAGGTTGGATTTTCCTCATCAGGAGCTTTCAGATGATATATAATATGTGAGGCATTCATGTCTCACACGGCATATGCCCGGGGTGGAGTACCTCTCTTCACTAATTCTCCACTGGCGGCCTCCCGCCAATACATTGAAGTGGGCGGGGTGGAGAATTGGTGAAGAGAAGTACTCCACACCGGGTTAGAGCCGCAAGAAACCTTGAATCCCCCACACATTATATATCATCTGAAAGCTCTTATGAGGAGAATCCAACCTATGAAGTCGCAACATGAATTATGCAATTCTGAAGAAGTTATGAGCTGAAAAACTCATTTTACCTGCTTTTTTAAGAACCTGGATCTCGGAGATGTTTCAATGGTTCGGTACAGCTAAGACATATTCTGATATGGCAAACCTCACCCTACAAAACCTATGAAGTCGCAGCATCACACACCTTCAAAGTCCGGATTTATAAGAGTTTAAATGTCAGCTGTCATTGAGCAACCTAAAATTGAGAAGATTTCTAGGGTTTTTCAAAATTTTCGTTCTCGGCGGCCACTTTTCAAATCAAACTGATTTTTTCACTATCTAGTGGAACAACACTTGCCCTTCAAAACCCATGAAGTCGCAACTGCGGAGGTCTTCAGCCAGCAGATTTGTAACAGTGGAATGATTTTTCACGATTTTTCATTATTTTATCATTGAAATTCTGGTTCTCGGCCGTTACTGCCTGGATCGACCTACTTTCTTCGCGGTACGTTATAACAAAATTTACTCAATAAAATCTGTAAAGTTTCGCTAAGTTTCACTTCAAAACACATTATTTACTGAGCACGTTTATTTTAAATATATGCCGCTGTATGCATAAAAATATGCTTACAATAATCTTTTTTGCGCTTGTTTTGCTCATTTTCCGCGCACTGGCGGCAACGACTTGGAAGGATAACCTCAGTCGACGTTAGCGTTCCCCACCCCCCCCCCCCCCGGTCGACGTTTTTGGGAGGTGAGTGTCTGGCACTACAACCTTCACTTTTGGCCGGCCAGTGGTAGCTGGGACCACCTTCACTTTTGGTGGGTCCGGCTCCCCCCATCGCACCTCTGGTTCCACGTCTTCATTACCGAATTTTTTGGGTTCGTTGGGTCCCGGGGAATAATAACAGGGGCCCTCCAATACTCAAAAGGCAAAAAAAATTCAAAGACTGAAGTAAGAAAAAAGGGGATTATGTTGTTTTCCACCTTGATTTGACGACGGTAGATCCCTCGATTCGAATGGCTTCATGGTAGATCTGTGGAATCGATCGGTTTCGTAAAACAGTTGCCACGCGGGAATTTCGACTGAATTGATGAAAATAGCAATTAGATTAGAATCTTATATATAAAGCTGAATGTCTGTCTGTCTGTCTGTCTGTCTGTACGTATGTGCGGAATAGAAATTTTTATTTCTGAACCGATCGGGACCAAACTTGGCACACATATACTTCGGGGCAGGGAGCGTGTCATAGGCTACTTTTCGTTATCGATCGATATCGATTTTATCGATTTTTTGCAAAATTTGAGCTAGGGGGCTGGGATTTTGCACAGGGGGGTAATCGAACATGCTGATCACCCCCGTGGGGGTGATTCAGCATGTTCGATTACCCCCCTGTGCAAAATCCCAGCCCCGTAGCTCAAAATTTGCAAAAAATCGGTGAAATCGACATCGATCGATAACGAAAAGTGGACTATGACACGCTCCCTGCCCCGAAGTGTATGTGTGCAAAGTTTGGCCCCGGGCGGAGCCGGGTTTGCCATCTAGTACCCGAATAAAGATGTCGGAAGTATTCGCAGAGTAGACCGCCCGTTACCAACACCTTAAACTTGGGTAATGAAACCATTGAAATCAGTACTGCGGCAGTATATGAAATAGCCCAATATTTCAAGACAGAATTCTGACCTGAGCTTTCCCGTTTAAGCGGCAGCTTAAGTGAAGGCTGCCGGCGATCGCTAGTGCGAACCTCTTTCCCTAATAGGAATAAAGTAGTCTGTGGAAGCACAACTAGGAGCCCGTACTGACTGCCAATGAAGATGACATATTTGAGTTTTTCCTTTTCCGTATCAGTTTTTCCCACGGTTTCGTTTCTGAACTTTACGAAAATCTAATTCAACGAAAATACATGGGGTTTTTTAGAAAAGCGCCCAAGCTTCATTATTATTAATTCTCTTGTCATGAAGTCTTTCGAGAAGTAAGTACCATTTGGCTTCAACTTAGCTTCATACCTCGGAGCGAATTACCAATCTCTCTTAATTAGTGTAAGATTACGGTAGGAACTCGCAGCGTTTGGCGCCATTATGACATCAGTACTGCGACAGTCACTGTGACGTTAGGACCTCATGCTTAGGTAATTAAACCTTTCCTTTCCAAAACCTGTTACTAACAAATCGAACAAATTGCATGGCAAAAAAGAATGAACAAGTGAATATGCATAAGTGAGTAAACTCCTGTATCAAATGAGTTTTCTCATAGCACCGAATTGTGGCTTTGACTACGACTACTTACAACAAACGAATGAACTACAATGAGAAGTAACCGGATAAACAGCACATGATTATTAGAGAAATGCGAACAAAATAAAAAATGGAGATACTTGAGGCGAGTCCACTGAGTGTCCGCGAGGTGACGTCGGCGCAACTGAAATAGTCGTTTTGGCAAGCATTGGAGATCACGGAGGTGATGAGGCCGGAGATCAAGACCGGCCTCAGCACACTCCGGGCGGCGACTAGTGGTGGCACTGCACAATTTCTCGTTCCAAGCTGTAGCGTTCTTCAGGTAGCGGACAGAGACTGTGATGGTGGGATTTCCCTTGCAGTGTTTGCAGGGTACGCGATTTTGGCATCAATAGCCACAATCTCCACGAAATGTTGTTCCGAGCTCGTCCACCGGGTCCACCGCAAGTCCCAAGCCCGTAGTGACGGCGACCCCTCTACACCGCTGGTATCCTCCATCCACAAGACGAACCATAATTTCTAGCTGCAATTCTTCAAAAGAGCTCAACCGTTCAGGACCGAAATCTATCTGCGGGAGCTACTGGAGGCGCTACCAGCACAAGATGATGACGAGAATAATTAATAACAAACAACTCGAAGAGACACAGGCCGTGTTGTGTGCGCGTTCATATACTCCATGGCTTGGCAATGCGCCCAGCAGGAGAGGCCCGGCCGCGAAATGCGGTGTCGCGCCTTTTACCGCGGCAACCAGCGCTCCCGTCCTCCTATCACGATGAGTGGCTTGCACCGCGAGTCGCGACAAGTATTCTA